TTTTTGCTCAGGACAATTTTCATTTCAGGATACAGTGAACAAAATTTCATTTCAGAACTGCAAAATTTTTGTGCAGAATTTTAGCGTATGGGTTTTTTGGCAGTGTCAGATTATTTTAAATTATTTCATAACACCTCCGGGGAGCAGCCATACATGGTTGGCGGTTCCTGTTGAAACGATGACACAAAGCATCAAACTGTTTCATAAGAACAGGGACAATAGAGACTTTGATCTAGAAAACGAAGACAAAATATTCCAACACATACTAAGCAGCAGCTGCCATTCGTGACTGAAAATAAAGAAAAATGGACTACTTCAATTATTACATCACATTATGACAAGTCAGCAGCAGTAGCACACATGCACTACTCGTACTGCCCTGTTACGAAATAATGTAAATATTATCATTATAACAATAGAATGAAACTTTAGAATTCCACAATGAACATTTTCCAAAACTCAAGTATTTTGAGCTTTTGTGGGCACAGCCCACATGATACCATCTACATGTTTTGTTAGTCTTTAAAGTGCTACTAACACTAATTTTTAAAGTGTTTCCTGTTACAGACTAACTCGGTTACCCCTCTGAAACTTTCAAATATTTTGGAAATTTTGATTCATGGGAAAAATTGTAAATATTTGTTTTCATTCTGATTTGGATCAGACCCGCCACATAGAGGCTGCTTTGCGGTAGCCTCCTCTGGCCCTGCCCCCCACGCTGCTGCCTCTGACAGGGCGCCCCTTACCACTGCAATCAGGCGCCCCTCCCCCCATTGGTTGGTGCCCCGGGCTGCTGCCCAGCTAGCCCCCTCCCGCTTAATCCGGCCCTAACTACAGGGGATAGTACATCACAACCAAAAGGTGTATGGGTTGCATATTAATGGGCCACTGTTGCAGACTGACTAATATTTCTAAATTATATTTGTGGCAAATATGCATGGGCCTTATGTCCAGTCTGAACTATGACAAATTTGCCCCTCCTCACTCCTGCCCCAAAAAAGACTGGCTAAAAAAGCATAAATCAATACATACACAAATGTTTGCATTCCTTTGTCCAGAGACTGGAAAAAATAATGGTGATGTTCATTTTTAAATGTCTCATTTTTCTATTTTGTTTTCTATTTAATTTTTCAAGATAACTTTTAAAAAAGCAAAACCCAAAACAAAAATACCAGAGTGCATCAATGTGTGATTAAAGAATGTGTAGCTTTTCCTGACTAATGAAGTTATCAATAATCACCTGTAACTCCTGTTTGAATGCTTGCTACAAATCTATTTAAAACTCTCAAAACATTTAAGCTCCAAACCAAACCAAAGCACGTAAGCACATGCTTAACTTTAAACATCAGCCATCATGTGGAAGTTAATAGAATTACTCATGTGTTTGAAGTTAGGCATGTGATTACAGTGCCTTAACATGAAGGATTAATATCCATGGACAGTGAAGTGTTACTCTGTGGGTTTGTATTGTACACATCTTAGAGGAGTTGCCATGTTAGTCTGTAACTTTAAAAACGAGTGGCCTATAACACCTTAAAGACTAGCAAATATATATATATATAATATTATGGGCTTTCATGGGCAAAGCCCACTTCTTCAGATGAGCTGGAAGCTGGACACGTGTAAATGTGTTAGTTTATATTTTTCAAAGCAGTCTAAGGCAGTGGTCTCCAACCTTTTTACACCCAAGATCACTTCTTAAATGACAGACCAAGCCAAGATCTACTGCCCCGCCCCTTCCTTGAAGCCCCACCCCTTCCTTGAAGCCCCGCCCTCTCTATTCTCCTTCTCTCCATCACTTGCTATCCCCAATCCTTATACTGCTGCTTATTATTATTTTTTATTATTATTATTCTGTAGGTAGAGGTTTTTCCAACATTTGGCCTGTCTAGACTGGATCAAATGTCAGAAAAAAACCCCTTCTTTTGGAAGCCACCTTATTCCTTGTGGAAAGAGGAATATAGGGGTGACCAAAAGAGCCTGTTTGCTCTTCCACTAAAAAAGCGGAAGAACAAACGCAACCCTGGATGCAGAAGAGTTTTTCTGGGATATCTCCAGAATCCTGCAGTCTGTGTTGAGACAGGATGTGTAGGCTCTGGGGTGGGAATGAGGGATTTGGGTGTGGGAAGGGGTGAGAGGTG